ATGCAACACCTTGCAACACTTCAACACAATTTCCAACACCCTGGGTGTTAAAAAACTTATGACACCCATAAAGTGTTGGATTTTAACACTTGAATTTTAAGAGTGCATGATTAGTAACGTTGACTCTCCCCCCAGGTATTGAAAAAAGAACAGGATTACGTAATTTATATTGTGGAACAGAAAGAGAAAAATTAACGGCAAAATTTCCATCGTAGATAGCATTCATACATTTAAAATAAGATAATTGAGAAATAATGGGAGGTCTTCGTTTTTCGGGGCTTCGGTCTTCGTTTTGTAGCACCCATGGATGTCTATAAAACGAAGACCCTTGAAAATTTCAACAAACAGACGGCTAAAAAAATCTTAATTTTGATTTTGTGACAGTCTATCGTATGATCATCAAAATAAAAGAGAAAAAATAGGGGTCTTCGTTTTTGGGTCTTGGGTCTTCGGTCTTCGTTTATAGACACCCGCGGGCAATCTGAAGAATGGTACGATGCTTTGCTGGAGCCTCAGGGCACTTTGTTTGTTCGCTTCCGCATACCTCACAAAACATCTATGTGGAACATTATATTATATGAATTTTGTTGATTACTACAGTATATTCATTTTATATATAATATACTGTAATAGGTCCATGTATACTATAGTAGGCGAAATATTCTTGTTAAAATAATTATTCTCCTATACTCCATGGAACCCTGACTCTTGTAAACTAAATGTAAGAGGGTTAACATTGAGACGTGTAATTAAGTTAATTTTACATTTAAACGGCCTGCAAACTTTTACTGCTGGAGTAAAAATACCATTCAAGTTATGTATAGCTTTAGAATCGCTGTAAATTCCTAATACTAGGCCTAATAGTATTATCTAGAAGAAAGAAAAAGGAATTATTGATTTCCCAAAACAAGTCAGAGGTAATTTCCGGGGCGTCTAGAAAACAAATAGTTCCCTTGGGCATGACCCTAGACCGCCTAGGGTAGTGTTGTCTGTTGTCTCTCATCGACCCCCCCCCCCAACCCCCACTTTCGGATCCGCCCCTGTATAATTCTTGGAACAATTTGAATATCGTCGTTTGCATGGACCCTGGAGCACACATGACCAACGACTTAAAAAAAGATTGCTATAGCAACTTTTATTATCTTTATATAGTAAAAACATAGAGCAAGAATGCAACTGGTCTCTATGCGTTTCAGCGTTCACACTCATGTGTCGCTTTAACACCTGTATTTAATGGACCTTTTCGGGTCAATCAAACAACTCCCTGAACAAACTTAACAATTGACCAATCAGAACAGTTCAGGAATACGAGCGTGTCCAAGAACCACACGTGTTGTCCCACCACAAGCGCACGTGTTTTGAGTATGTTTTTAGGCCTACCATGTTTTTACACTCTCGTTTGTGGGACCTTAGCAACAATATCCAAGGGGCGGGGATTAGCGGAAGGTTCATAATAATAATAATAATAATAATTTATTTGGATATTCACTCAACCACAGGGGTGGTGCATCCTAACAACAACAAAAATATAAAAATTATAATCAAAATGAAAGACATCAAAACAACAAGGTAATCAATTTACTCGACTCGACTGTTATGCTGTATTACTCGTTTTGCTGCCCTCTATACTATCAATTTACTATTTTGACACCTGTCCGATTTTTTGTGTTGCTTCCGTGATGGTGAGTATGTGGTTTATCTTCGATGTTCATTTACGTTAATGACGATTCCTAATCTAAAGGAGGGAGGGTAAGTGCATATTTATCCGACCCATTTTAAAATGCTATCCAATACTGATTCGGGTAAAAAATGAATGATGGGCTTACCTGGAGAAAGGTGAGCAGATCAGAAGAAGTGCGGACACCATAACAACAACAGTGGGCGTGTTGGAATATGGATAGGCCACTGTTTTGATGCACCAATATGCCTAGCCCAGGCCCCTATGCCTATTTATAGTTTGGGCCTAGGGGCCTACTACTTGTATAAATACTGTATAAATCGAGTAAATATCGCGCGCATTGTATCCAGTTTATTTTTTTACTTCCTAGGGTTAGTGCTTACTGCTGGAAAATTATAAAATACAGTGTGAGAAACTATGTTACAAAATACTGAGTGTTTATAACACAGGCGTATATATTAACATTGTTGTTTTAATTGTATTACTATTAAAGTATTGTATTGTTTAGCTTTTTCCTTGGGAGACTTCTTCCCCCCCCCCCCTTCTTTGGAAATAATGAACTTGTTTCTATAGGGGATATAATATTGTTATCATTAATTATTAATATTATTGTTGTCTTAAATAATCATGGTACATTTTGTAGATCTTCGAGAATAAGTGGACCAGACATTGCCATCACGATGCTTGGGATTGACCCACGATGTGAGATCACTCCCGAAACAGCAAAAAAAGCTAAAGCGCAGCTGAATGAGAACCCAAGCACAACAGGTGCTGCTTTGAATGGTTTACGCAAATTGTACACAACTAGATCGGACATTAATTTTGAGCAGGATAGTGATGACTTTCTTCTGCGGTTTTTAAGAGCTGGCAAATTTGACCGTGATCGAGCATTTGGGATACTCTGTAACTACTATACCTTCCGCAAAAAGTACAAAGTGACACCGGAGATGTTGTGTGCAGAAAATTCTGCAATCCAACAAGCTCTGTTAGACGGTTTCCCAGGTGTGCTTAATGATTTGGATGCGCATGGCAGGCGTGTGCTTTTATTTAATGCAATCAACTGGGAATTCTGGCTGTACAGTTATAAAGAAATTCTGAAAGCTCTACTGCTTAGCTTAGAGTTTTTAGTTGAAGATGAAAATGTGCAAGTGAATGGTATTGTCGTTATTATTGACTTCAGTGGAGTTCAATTCAAGCTTGCTTCAAAGGTCACACCATCGTTGCTTAAACTCACCATTGAGATGTTTCAGGTACCTGAGTCACAAAAAGAAATATGTTTTTTTAATGGATACCTTTATTTATTTTTTCATTTTATAGTTTCCTTATTTTCTTTTTTAATTAATGAAAGCATGGAATAATTTTTTCTCACTGATTTCTAATTTTTGTTCTACACAAGTTTGATCATAAAAATGTCCCTTTGGATATATATAACAGTTTTGATTTCTGCAACACTAAGTTTGACACACCCTCCTTTATCATTTAACACTCGCTTCCCTTACTATATTTTACAAGAAATGCCCTTCCCTTTAGAATTTTCCTCGATCCCACTCTTTTACACAATTGGCTGTATCTACAGTACTTATCCTCTTATTGACTAATCCATATTTCATGTAGTATACCCATTTCCCTGTTCTATGTTGCCCATCTTCCCTCCTTTGTAGTACACTCATCTCCCCTCTCTGCCATACACACATCTCTCAGATGGGTGTAGGCTGGTTGTGGGGGATATGGCTAATTAGTTTCTCTAAGTGGGTTAATTAAAATTCTAAAAGTGACTATTAAGATTTCATTGGAACAAGGATTTAGTTCCACATTCGATATTCTCAATTTTCGCACCCTTCCCCCCCCCCCAGACTGTTTCGCACCATTCAAATATCCCTATCTCCCTTCCCCTTAATCTCTCCTCCCTGTAATACTCTTTGTATCTAATATGTTTCCCATTCCTTTTTGACTGATTTCACCTATTATTATTTATCGCGTACATTTTTTTTTCACTTTGCAGTACAGTATTTTACTTTTGGTTTTACCTGGTGTATTCTGTTGTTGATTTTCTATGATTTCAAATGTGAATTAGGTTGTGTGTGTCTTGTGATGTCCCAAATGTGTGGCAGGTTGTTCTGATCATTGTGAGTATACGCTCTGCATGTAATGTTATCATATGTACATATCTTAATGAATGCATGGTATTTGTCATCTATTTGAATATTTATCACTACCATTATAAATGTGCAATTATTTCCCATTCTTAAGTAGGCACTTTTAAAACATTCCAGGCTTCATGAGAGCCATTAATAATCAAATACTATAACCAGTTTTGGGGTTTTTTTTTTACTAATTCTTTTTATGGTTTTTGTCATTTTTTTCTCTTTATAGACTTAATTTTTTTTTTTTTTTTTTTTTTTTTTTTTGTAGTGAAAATTTTTTTTTTTTTTTTTTGTGAAGTGAATATCAAATTCAGTAAATTAAGTTAATCTGGTGTAAATCATTCATTTGTTTTTTAGTCTGTTAGTTCTTTAATTCATTCATTTATTCATTCATCTATCCAAGCATTTATTCATTAATTCACTGGTGTATTCAATAAATCATCCATCCATCCATCCACCCATCCATCCATCCAACCATCAACACATCCACCCATTTACACATCCACCCACCCAACCATCTACCTATCCATTCATCTATCCATCCATCCATATATTTATTTATTATTTCACTTGTTTATTCAATAAATCATTCATTCATTTGTGTATTATTTTATTCATTTATTTATTCATTATTTTCTTTATGTATTCATTTATTCATTCATTACTTCATTCTTATAAATTTATTCATTCAATCCATTAACAATGTATACTCTGGTTACCTTTCTAGGACTGCTTTCCCTGTCGTCTTGGTGCATTACATATTATAAATCAACGTTGGTTTGTTGACACTGCTATCAAGCTCTGTAAACCATTCTTAAAAGATGGTATAAAGAAAAAGGTACATTTTGATACATTAATATATTTTTAAAAAAAGAAAAAAAGAGTGGTACATTTGCAATTATAGATATTTATACGGTGGAATTTAAAGAGATACATTTGTATAATAAGGTTTATGATTTTAGCCATGTTACTTATGTGGTATAAAGAAAAAGGTATATGAAATTTGATATATTAAAATATTTTATTAAAATAGTATAGTTGCAATTACAGATATTTATACAATGGAATTTAAAGAGATACATTTTTATTTTTATATTAAGATTTATGTACATGGCAACAACTTGGCTACGCTACACTACATGGTTCACAAAGAGATGTTACCGACGGAACTCGGAGGACTTAAGCCACCATACAACCACTTCTCGTGGGCCAAACAGCTAATCGGTTGTAATTACAAACCAGGAAAGAACAGCAATGCTTCTGGAAACAACAATGTAACACCAGAGTTTGTAAGGTGAGAGCTGTGGTTTGGCTGCAAAGGTGTCTATTTTCTAATCCTAAGGGCTTGGGTATAATTCAGACACAATGCACAGAATTTGGTTCAAAAGAAAAATAACTCCATTTCAAGTCTCAAAGAGGAAATTTATATACTTATTTCACTCCACTGCAGGAGGAAGGTTTTTTTCCAATTGCTCATCTTTTCTCTATAGCTTTTAGGTGATGCCTACAAGTGTCTTAATTTCATCCCTCCATTTCTTCATTCGTCTGCCATTCTCATTGAGCTTCCTACAGTAATTCCAGTCTGGAACCTTAACACCATATTTATAAATGAATGGAAAATAAAACAATGAAAAGTTTACTAGTAAAAGTAAGCTATGAAAATATTGAGGCTATTAAATCAACACAAGCAGTAAATTGTATGATATAAGTGCATTATTGTTCGTTGATTTCTCAGAGCAAGGCGGGTTGAACTGGTGCACCCATCTGCCAATGACTCCCGCCCCATGACAGCAGTAGATGACGCGTTAAGAATGGAAGAATTGCCAGCAGACGAGAACGAAGAGTTGGAGGAGATGCTACTGTTCCTGGACTACTGACGCGGATTATTAATCGACTGGAAATACCATGGTCTTGTCCAGGGACAATGTTCAGTACCTATAATTCTAAGACTAAGTATAAACTAAGTATAAGTATGCATTCTCTTTATATGTTGCTCTCACTATCCGTGAGAACAGAAGCGGAACCTGTAAATTTAATTCGTAGCAAATAGGAAAGCAAATCTATTTTGTAGATAAGATATGAAAATATACATAGGATAATTCAAACTTAATTTTCAGTGGAGCAAACACATCCATCATGATTGGAAAAAGGATTAGATGTCTGGTGTCACAATTTTTTTTTATTATTATACATGAGGCTACTACAATGGTTAAGTGGTGTAGTCTACTTCGTGAATACTTACATGGATAAACCGACTAATCACCTATTCTCTCCCAAAAGAGAACACCCCTCAAAAATATAATGGAACAGTGGTTGAGTGGCGTATTTAAGGGTATTAACATGGGAGATGAGGAGGGGTTGATTCCTATAGAGGGGAATGACAGTGAGAGAGTGGAGGGATGAGGTAAATTTTAACTACATCGCAATAATTCTTTTGATAACCAAATTTCCAATTGGTTGGTTGGTGGGGGGGGGGGGAAGGTGATGTTTACTGCACCCTATGCTATCCTTAGATACTCAACTGCTACTGGTCATAATCTGTAGTTGCAGTTTATTTTTAGTACACTTCATGTAATTAATCAATCTTCTAAGATCAAAGTCAAACCTTTGTTTCTTCACAAGATGGGTGTTTAATGCACAAGAGTATAAATGCTAGATCTTCTCCATGTATTTTAGAAACAAATGCTTTAGCATGTTAATAAAATGGCTGCTATATTGCACAATTGTAGATTAGTCGAGGGTCAGAAAAGTCAACAAGGGATAGAGGGCACACTCCTTCCTAGAAAATGCCACTTTATCGAGTATGCACATGACCATGGCAAGATGTTAACTCTCTAGTACATTGGCCTAATTCTGTACATTGAATCCCATTATGTAAATCACCTTTAATAATTTTAATAAAGTTCTACATATACTGCATGAATATCCATACATATAATTGCTAACTTTGGTATTTATTTTGAGGTTTTTGTACATCTTAATGGTACAGTATTTAATTTGGACAGGTTTTTATGTTTACAGCTATTTTAAAATATGGTCCAGGTTCCATAAATATGATGGCAAAAATGAATACCCTAGTAAAAACAAGGTGAATTGTTTCATGGAGGTAGAATGGGGTTCATGGTTATGCAAATAAGCTGACACCAAGCTTTGGTCACATGATACCTAATACCTGTGACTGTCATTGATTTTGTCTATAGTGACCTTGTAAAACAGATTTTGTTTTTGTTAATATGATTGATTTTTTATTTTAATCCTAGAGACAATAGACTTTCATATTTTAGTTCAGATATTGTACTATATTAGTCGCGTTAGGATAAAGCTAAAAATAGTTTGTGTTGCCCAAGCTACCAACTGAGTAGCAGTGGCTCTAGAAATGTGGTAACAGGTCCGACCCTGTTAGGGCAAGGACTTCTAACTGTTAAAAGTCCTTGGGTAGGGTTCATGGGGAGATGTTTTTATGGTTTAGTATGGTCCAAATTGTGCTTTTTAGACCACAATTTGGCAATCGAAATAACCTTATTTGGAGAGGCAAATTAATATACAGTATTTGGTCTGATGACCTTGTCATGATGTTGGACGACTGGGAATCCAGGCCTGTCTGACGGGGCCCTATTCCCACACCCCCGCTGGTGCAACTGCCCGAAAATCTATAAAGTCTAGGGTCAGCATGTTTGTTATTTTTCATTAATATTTAGTAAACTTTCCTGTTTAATACAGTATCTATGTCTCTAACTATATTCTATATATTTATGAACAAGCGCACACAGCCTATTATGAGGGGAAGTGGAGCATTGTGGAATGGCAGATTTGGAATCTTACTACCATATACCGGTATTTCTAATAAGAACATTCTGATCCATTTTTTTTTTTTTTTTTTTTTGCATCCACAATATTTAGTAATGGTATATGCAAGCCTCTGTGCAAATTAAGGCATTTTTTATGTTAAAATTTTGTTGCCCATTACTGCTACTATTGTAATTTTATGGGTAGTAGGGCCATTTTTTACATAATTATCAATTTGTAAGGTAATTTCTGCAATTTTGTACTGGTTTCATATTTTTTATAACTTTAAATGAATTGCATGAATGTATTATTTACATTTATTAATTACATAATTTGAATTTAGGTTTTTCTTCCAATGAGCCTTCAAAAAAGCTTCCTATAACCCATAAATCTGCTTTAGTTTCAACAATTTTGGGTGAAATAAATGATACAAAATAATTTGTTTCACTGAGTTTATTTGAGGTTCTTGCTTAATAGTTAAAGGTATAATTGAGATCAACATTGTTCCTGGATGTGATGAGGAGTATATCTGCAGACAGATTAGCGAGTGGGACACTCTAGGCTAGCTCAAGTCTTGAGAAGGAATACATGATTTCCAAAGCCTAAAATGCATAGAGGAATGATTTCTGGCCATCATCAGGGGCTTTGTACATGGTACAAAGAAGACAATAAGCCATTTTAAAAATAACAGAAACAAAACCACATTTGTAGATAAATCTATTTTATGCTATTTAATTCAAATTTGATTCATCAAGATGATAAAGATATGGAATCGGAACAATCGTGTTGCCTTAACACATTGAAATATGAAGAAACAAAAAATATCATAATGTTGAAAAAATCTGTACATTACATGTGCAATATTATTGCTGTTACACATACAAGGTAAACAAATTGGGGTCTTAAAAGCCCCAAACTATGGAATTATCAAAGCGATGTGCCAGCATCTACTGTAGTGCAATCTTCCTTCAGTTCAGTGTTTGTCTTTGCATCAAGAGTAATTGTTAAAAAACTACATCATACTTTGCCTTACATTCTAATAATTTACATATGAATTCACCTGTATTGTACGCAAATTATTATCTATTTATTAATCATTGCAAACCTAAATTTCAGATTTTTACACGATGAGAAAGAAACTAAAATCTGTACAATACATGTGTAAATATGTGTCTCAGAATGTAGAAACATCTTCACATCGCACTCCTTTGGTCACATGACCACATTTAAAAAAAACACTGAATATCATACAATTGTAGGTGAAATCCTTGTAAAATAACCATGTTATTTCAGTCATGCTTGCTTCAGATTTATGTTTTTATATATGGTAATAAATAAAAGTATCAAATTGTATTTTGTTATTAAAGAGCATGCACAAACCAAAACACTACATTATAAAGATTGAAAAAATAATACATAATAGACATAAAATAAAATGCAATACATTTACAAGAAGAGATTACAACATTGTAGTTTTGGTTAAATATGAAGTCAAAATCTTTGACATTTGCGTATGATGATGTCGTATCACATCCATATATGGGTATGATGATGTCAATACATACCCATATATAGGCATATCTTATTCGTATTTGTCACATAAAAATTGATAGTGTGGATTGTGTTTAAAGTTGTAGTCCCATGTTTTCCACAATCATTTTTGTAAACCAACAATCCCTTAAAAAATATAGACATCCTGTGTTCTCATTCATGTGATTAGCTTGGATGTAATGCTTGACCCGAAATATATTCAGACACGCCCTGCCGTCATATTCACAGCGAGCAGAATGCAACTATTATACATAAAAATTACAATTCCTAATAAGCATTCATTCAGCAGACTATAGCAATCATGGGAACCAATCAGATTCAAGAAATTCTGTTACAATATATCCAAAGCATTATTAATTATTAAAATGTTATCTTTTTAAAACCAGCATTAAATGATGAACATCAAGGTTTATTTTTGTTATAAACAAAACTTCAACTCAAGGTTCAATTGCAGTTTAATAACAAACAATGACATGGATGAGCTGAATATAGCTTGGAAGTAGGCTATGTACAATGAAATATAGACACTTGGAAAGTTTACAATGTTACAGCATATCAAATTTCTATATAAAAAGTTTCTAAATACATGAACAATATATGTGAGGTCTCACTACAAAATGAGTCTCATCGTTAGAAGATCAAAAAATGAGTTTATATTACATTTTGGTAGATCACATTATAAGCTTTAATTTGGCCTTTGAATGGCTTCCCTAGGATAAATAGATCCAAAGATGTTAGCATTTAAAGTTTAAATGAATAAGAACCTGGTTTTGAGAAAATTGGCCTCAAAGATAAAATAACCTGTACAAATAATAGGACTAGAATTACAGAATATGCAAAGAGAACACTGCTTCCGTTAGAAAATTCACTTAAAAAGTACACAATCATAAAATACAAGTATCAAGTTATTCAAAAACATTAAAATCAAAATTTTGTAAAAATGTTGCCTTTAATCTATTTTGGTGAATATCTCAATATGATTTCACCAACGATGTGTCTCATTTCGTGGTAAAACCTCACATATTACATCAATACATAGACAGTGCTAAAAACAAGATTTTGTATTTCCCTCTCCATAATTTGGTGTTTGTTACTATATGCCTTACGTACAGAAATTATGAGTACTATAATAGATCTAATGCATCCCCCAAAAAACTGACCTGTTTAAACATGGTACGTTTCAAGGGGTTAGATCACAAATAAGTACAAAGCCTTTTGTTTGTATGGAATATATACAATATAATGCATTTGTATACGTAACTGGAATCCATTAGTAAATCATTTAAATTATATCACAATCCCAAAGGATAATACATAAATCCTCAAATGTATTATCTAAACAATAATATTTGAGGATTACATACAAGTAAAATATACAACACACTGATTTTTCTGCCCATGCCTTTTGGGCCCCCCCCCCCCAGGTTTTTTGGAAGAACTTAAGCCCTCAGTCATGGGCTCGCTTCGCTAATAATAGGTCCACTCACTCAACAGTGCACCCTAGAAAAAAAACAGGGCATAAGCTAGGAATGGGGATACTGTAGTAATAAGCATAAGAGACAAAACGATAGGAAAGAATAATAGTTAGAACTGGAACGAAAGGTATAAGAATAGGAAAAGATATTATTTGGGATGGAAATTTGATATAATCATAATTTTCATAATCTATTTTTTGGGATGGAAATTGGATATAATCATCATTTTTTAATCAATTTTTTGAATAGCATAATGGAAGTTCCATTAATAAGCATACATACTTTAAGAATGATACTGTACTATCCCAAAGTTTTGAGTTAAAAGAACTGAATTTAAAATTCTCTTCACAGCACTGAATATGTGTAAATTTACATACATTACTACCTTTTTGATGAATATAAACATGAATTAGACATTAATTTAACAAAATAATCATATTAAATAACGATAAATACTACAGGGTACTGTAAATATCACAAATTTTCCTAGCTAAATGCATTAAAATAAAAATATTAACAATGATAATTACAATTATAATAAATAAAAAATTATTATAATTATAATCACAAGTATAAAAACAATGCAGTATTGTATTCTATCCACACATCATTATGCCTCTTCCCCCCCCCCCACCCCTACTAAGAGCATACATACAACAAAAAAAGGTAACAGGCAGAAAATTATACTGTACATTAACATTATTTACATGTGAAGAACTAAACAACAGATTCTAAGATAAAAACAAACAATTTCAACTTATAATTAAAAAATGTTTAGCAATTAGATACTACATTGCACCAAAAGTACAACCCTATTATCATTCACAATTTCACACCGCAAGACAAAAATATGTATCCAAAATATTAATCTTTCTATTAGTTACATTGAATTAAAGACATTCTTAAAATGATTCAAACTCTAGTGCATATTTCAAGTGAAGACACATACTGTAAAAGATAGTGGAGTGGTAACTTTGGCCCTGCTAGCTAATATACTGTACAGTAGCTTCCTATGGCAAACATTATATAATATCTATACATATATATATTTTTAACTATATATCCCTTATCAAGATGTGTTTCTTTGGCTGGCATTGCCTCTCTGTGATCACAAATCACTTTTCCATTACATAAAATGCAATACTCTCTTACCTACATTAAGCAATTATATATCTACATTAACAATATATATTCTGCTGTTTATGGAATTAGCATTATGATAATTATTTGTTTATCCCATGTCAAAAAGCTTACTAACATTGAGGGTGTTTACATAATATATTCTCAAACCATTTTTAGTGTATCACGAAGGGATTTGATGCAGCAAGAATTATGTGAAACAACTGTTAAAAATTGATACAAATATAATTCCTAATTTATATATTTATTTTACGTTCAGAAAATCATTGAGTACAATCTCAATGAAAATGGTTAATTTGTATTTTGCACTATTTAAAACAATTGTTTATATATTTTTTAGCTAAATTATTATATTTACTCTACAGCTGTAATTTTTATCATGGTGTGTTAATACAGATATTCCGTTGTTTGAATATTGGCCCTTAATGACACTAATTTGTGTTTTAGTTAATTATTTAATGTGAGATTGCTGGCAGAACCACCATATACACAAATACATTTTATAAAAATGATAAATACATATAATGTGATAAGAATTTACCATGTAGTAAAAGGTTGTTCAAAATACCTGATATCAGAATATTTACAATTAACACAGGTTTTTAATTATTATAAGTGTACAGTATGCTAATAGATTAAGCCTTGAATTGTATCTTAAAGATTCACCTCTTTTCTTAATTAAACCATCAATAATTAAAAGCTATTAGTGTCCAAGGAAAACAATAAGAATTTACAGGCAACGTCGATGTTCACATGGAAAATATTATTTATACGCAGTACACTACAAAATTATGCATTTTTGTTGGAGAACTGATTCAAAATATATTCATAATTATTAATTCTTGTCACATGTAACTAGCCTTACTTTACTGCTAAGAAATGGATCCTGGATTTTCTTAGTCATACATACAATCAGATATTTCTACCTTAACATTCAAACATTTTACAAAATCATTTTGAATAGTAGCATTATGTATAAAAAAAAATCATGAAAAAAAATGTTGGATGGGATCCTACTACTAGTGGGCTATTAATATTCAACACTTCAGAGGTTACAAATTGTATGACTACCGGTGTTCGGACTCGTAATAATCACATAAACACTTGTAAAACATATTTTATCCTTAACTATAACTTACATTGTTCTTTACATTTTCGGAGAAATTCCACAAGGCACAAACTGGTATATTTTTTTGTTGTTCCATTTCATAAACAAATGAAATCTTATAATATATTCAACTATTATTCATTCTTTTGTTTGTTGTAGTAATGTTGAATTAAATAAAATCATCTGTTATAAATGAAGATAGACACTGATCAATCCATTCAAAGAAGGGAATATCTCTCCCCACTTCAGGCTGGTGCTGTTGTCCAACCACTTCCTATAGAGGGCGACAGTGTCAGAAATGGAAATCAACCTAGATATTACAGAGATGCTCTCTTTTGTTGAGCGTTATCATCACTCCAGTACTTCTTTTTCAGGTTCCACTCACAAATGTTGCTTCATATCGTTTTCCAAACACATTATAATGTTATACTTGGGAGCATTAGTTTCAGAATATCATTCGACATTTCAACTTGTAAATTCCAATGCATTCTCCAACAAAACTTAAACAATACTTGTAGAAATTTAGAGCTACAGTGGCATCGGATACTACTCCTTGAGTTTTGCTATCCCAAGTTTAAAAACCTCCCACTTCCCTCCTCACTGTGTCATCTATAGCAGGTATGCAGTGTTCTCCGTAGAAGATGGTTCATCATTGTGTGTATTTTTTGCTTTTTCATGACAATATCAAAGGTTGCTCACTGCTCACATGAAATCAAACATTTTTCATTTCACAACTGTAAATTCGGTCTTTGCGTCCTTGAGCACAAATCCAGAAATGAACACAAAATGCAAAAATTTATACTAAACTGTATCAAAACAAATATAAAACAGGATATATCCATACTAAAAGGAAATCATGTTGGGCTTGGTATGTATATTTCAATTAGGTGGAAAAGTGCTATAAACTAGGAGATTTAGTAATGTACTGCTATGTGGTTTTTCTTGTGATTGTCTGTTAAACATGGCCGATATCATTCTTCTCACGTCATTCCGTGGTGTCTGAAAAAGGTAGAAAAAAATGGTTAAGGAAAATGTTATACGAACAATTGTTGTTACTGTCAATGAGTATCTGACCATATCACAGAAATAAGGAGATTTGAGAATTGACTGAATAGCACAGTGTAGTGGAGTCAAATTTGAAAAGTCGTAAAGCGCGTGCAACATTATTACCCATATGGTCATTAGGTCCATAAATTGGCAAACAGACACAAAGTACAACCTTCTCTGCTCTATGAGGGAGCAAACCTGCCGTACTGCAATACTGGGTAATTACACACAGACTAAAAAATTCTATGCCACATCACACCAGGTATTTATATTCCTGGGTGGCGAGAGAAACGTAGGTACAAGTGCCTTGCCAAGGACACAAGTGAAAAGCACAGCAGAAGTTTGAACCCTTGACTTTAGGTTGAGAGGTTGAACAGCATCTGCTGTGCCAACAATTCCCACTATAACCTGAAATCTATTCAACATCATTTTTTAAAAATTTTATTATTTTAAAACATTACACAAAAAGTAAATTTGTATGTGAACACAATTTCAATAAAAACTGAATGTTAATATTGAACAATATAATTCAAATTAAAGTACTGACCGATACAGTTAAATACAGTTTAATATATGTCAATAATCTTTAATGATAATCAATTCAAGCGGGCCAAACTGGCCCGGGTCCCTCCAATTTTTCAAAATTATAACAAAAATTGTAAAAACAGGCAAATTTTAATCAAATTTAGGTCTGAGAGTGCCATTTCCAGCCATCCAGATGTGCAATAATCATAAATTTTCTTTGGTGGGCCTGAGGTGGTCTAGTCTCTCCATCTACAGTATGAAAGTCCTTGCCTGGGTCCTCTGTATTTTGAATCTGCCACTGATGTTCATAAATGTTAAAAACTGATTTACAGTATTTATCAATAATTATAAATATTGTTTACAATTTTCCAAGTATGATAAAAAAAAAAAATTAAAAAAACGAGGTTTATGCACAATAGAGATATGATTCATAATATCTAAACAGAAACAAAACATGCTAATGAAATAAAACTTACAATTTATCACCTCTTAATATTAATATCAATTGATGCAAATGTATATATCCATCAATCCTGATCAATAATAATCAACACCCAGTGATTACAAATCTAAACATGAACTTCCCATAAACACAGCTAATGAAATGAGGGTAAAATTCCTACATCACTACCGACTAATATTAAAGGTGGCACAAGACAGGGGAGGGTCCAGGGGCACTCGTACCCACCCCCCTCCCCATGGCAATTGAGAAGAGTTAAAGGGAGGAAAGAGGGAAAAAAGGAAGTGTACCAATGATGTCATTGGCGGATCCAGTAGTGAGTGAAAGAAGTGCTTGTTTATTTCACCACTTACTAATTGATTGACGACGAACACAATGCCGATTTTTTTCCAACGATTTCATATTTGTTTTTCATGTTTGTTTTTCAGATTTTTAATGTTACTGATAATAGTACTGATAATAGCAGATAAGCTCCTATTTTTTTAAGAGATTATGAGATTCTGAAAAATGATTAAATAAACTTCTTAAACCTATATATTTTTGGGAATCTTTTCCTGAAGCCCACTAAATATTTGCCGCTAAACCCCACCAGAGACCTTAGATTCCCTAGACTCAAGAATGATTGCTTCTACTTCATGGCTCCATTTGATGGCTTTGTTTGGGAAAATCCTTGAGCTACCACTGATTAATACAATCACTACCAATTTAATAAAGACAAATCATTTATAAGCAATACCAATATCATTACTTAAACTCCCAAGACAACACATGCTAATAACAATTTTCTAGGAATCTATAATAAAGATGAACTATGTTTGCATGCAATACAGTATTCCTAATTGAAGACAACACAAAAGGTATACACATATCCCCAATTGCCCAATATGAAGATGAAGCCATGTTGATGCTAAAGTTTCAGTGGCAGAAACAGGTTTGTGTTTGCCGTGGAATAAGTGTCAATTGAGGACTTGTATGATCTGGAGGGAAAGGATTGAGTTTATTCTGTTACCTAATGTGGGACCTAATTATTATTGATATTAACTTATTATCTATTTATATATAACTCCATTTATTCATTTATCAAAAAACTTTGATAAGTTCCATTCCATCAAAATCATTCCAGTCCATTCAAAATCATATAGCAGATATTTCATATTATTCTAGCAATACCATGTGTTAATGATAGAATTAAGATATATTGTGTATATATTTCCAACTGAAAATGTCTAAAATCATTTTAAATAAATAATGAATACCAAATAAATAATTTTATGAAAGATTAATAGATACTAAAATGAATAACATAACGATGACTGTGCACACCTAAAATGTACATATCAAATAATAACCATGTATAATATTCATGCAATATGAGGGCGCCGAAAACGACCATGTTTAGTACGGCATTGGACAGGTGATGATAATGATGACAACACACACAACTTTACAAACATAAAAAAAATCACCTGACAATCGTAAGCTATGGAGCTCTAAGCCAAATTTAGTGCTGCAAATAAAAATCAAATGTGTTAAATTAAACAGATATTCAAGTTAAAACAAAATGAGTGAAAAGAAAAATAATGGTAGTAAAAACCAATGAATATTTGCATTTTTATATTTTATAATTTTATTTTATTAATTTATTATATCAGCCTATGGTGACCTAGTTACCTGTTACATGATTTAGGTAGAATATAAATATTTAAACAACTAAATATAATATAAATATTTGATAGCAATAAAAACATTTTTGCATAAATTGTATAGACTATTAAAACACTAACATTTCAGTAACATTTAGCAATCTTTCAAAAAAAGAAAAAAAAAAGTGACGTATCAGGAAAATATCTAGTAAAAAAAATCAGTGACATAAAAAATTATAAAATAAACACTGGGAGATTATTAATTATACTGTACTATTCTTAGTAATGTTAACTCCTCTCATCCCACCCACACCTTAACTTGACAATGGTAAAGGATTATTTATTGATAAAATGGAATAGAGAAAAGAAAGCATACAAATGTTTACCTACTGTAAACTCAGTCCGTACACAAAGAAAATAAGTCAAAATAATCAGCAAATGACAAAAGAAATCACTCATTATATCCTAAATTCAGTAAAATAGCAAGTGTATATAAATGTAACCATGCTATGCACTGCATCAACGTAGTGAATATCTACAGATGTAACCATGGTTACGCATTCAGTGAATGAATGAATGGTGGCTATGCATTGCATCACAGAACAATAGTCAGTAAGCATGTATAGATATAATTCTTGCTATGCTACATAATAGAAAAAGAAAATGATCAGATAAGTGCCACTGCACTTACAAAATTTTCAATGCTACATTTATTCAAAAGAGGCACTTCTTAAGAGTTGGTGATTATTACTATTTACTAATGTATAAATGATATCATGTGTTATGAAAGACCTGCCTGACTTATTGCAATGCTAAATATTATTATTTATTTCTCAGGAAATCGTTTGTTAAATAATTTATTTTCAGATGATACAAAATATCAAAGCAGGTTGGTTAAAATGAAATCTTGACCAAAATCAGAAACATTTATACAAAATAGAATATAATTCTAAATGCTGCGGAAAATATTCCAGAGTGGATTTGAAAGTGGTGCTATTTGATTGAGAGATGCTTATTCAATCATACAGGGTAACTGTAGCCTAGTCTTCCAACCATAGACTCAAATGTTCAATTGGTTCCTTGTCAACGAGAGCTCGTTTGTCGAGTAGTTTTTTTCCATTATGTAGTTACGTGTTGTTCAATTAGAGATTCGAACAGTGATTTTAACAGAATGGATACCTCCAATAAACAGACGTAAGATAAATGGGGGTCAGACATAAATTCATTAGAGACTATCTATAAAGAATACATTAAAAGCAAATGAGTTGAGAGCTCTTGCTACCATTATTGTCATCTCCCAATGAAGAATAATCTGTGCAGAGCCATTACAAATCAAATATCACTTTAAAGATGATAGTTAGAAAAAACAAATACTACATACATGCCCTATATTACTATTGCTTTTCTCATATCTAATTTTAACAGAGTGCTCCATTTAAGCAAATGTTGTAATAGCAGACAGGCAGATTTGTGGTTTTCAAACTGCAAGTGCACCATATACGAATGACAATCTTCATAATCTGGAATAGTCATTAAAATTTTATTCTCTTGTGAATTCTGTTTTAACACAATCTACATCTAACTTATAAATAGATGAACCTATAGTGATATGACACAGATAATTGTTAATCTAGTCAATCTATAAACTCCATAAGACAAATCTGAAGGACAAGACATTACTAAGAAAATTAAATCCCGAGTCTAACATTTAAATGAATAAGGAGAAAGCAAGCAGGGCGTTGCCTAGGATAATTACAATTATGAATGTCCCACGCGATGATGTCATATATGAACATACAGTACACTTTAATTATGATGGGTTACATGTAAATGAGGGTACAGTATAACTATGCACTGGCTTAGTTCAAATTATATGAAAGAATAAAAACATGGTGCAGGATGAACAAAATTATGACCCAAGCAAGTGGAAACCACAACATTATTTTATGGGTTTTGACTGCCAAAATGGCCAAAATGATAAGCAAAAAAGAAGCAGGACTCATAAAATCCATACAAATGAAATTAGCAGATACTGTATATATTTTTTGTCTGTGTTATAAATCCATAGCTTCACATTTCTCTCAGTATGCATGTTTTAACTATGAGATGATAAGCTAGGGATGTACACACATCAACGCGATGAAAGATATCACAGAATTATTTCAATACATTCCAAATGTCAGACTTTGATTAATACTGTTGGGAGTTACGGTTTAGTTGTTAAGTGCATGCTTTAATTCCTAGCATTCTAGGTTCACTCCATAAAAAGGCTTGTATTGTTTCAGGGAATACCAAAGAGTATAGAATTGTAAGAGGTCCGACTGCCCTGATTTTGTATGCACACAATAGAATGTTAAAAAAAAGTACTGCCACAAGATAGGGGGCACCCTAACAGAATTTCAACATTCGAATCTGATTCAAATAGAGTTCGCTTGAAACTAGTCTTTTAAGGACACGCCCCTTCGCGGCAGTAATTTTTTAGATAGGATTGCGTTCCAACGAAACCATGCGAGTCAGACCTCTTGCAGTTTTATACCCTTTGGTAATACTATTTTCCTTCATAATGAGACATACACACTAACAGGGGTTCTACTGTACGTCTCACACAACTTAGGGGAGTACGCTGGAAATCAGCATGGTCTTGTGAATTTAATAATACAGAGGGAGAGAAATGTTTATTTCTGAACCCCAATTTCACTCCACAGTTAAAAATTAAATAATTTAAACACCTACAGTATTTAACTTACACTTACTTTGATTTCATTATTCATTTGGCCTTTATTCATAAGCAATATACAAATATTCAAAAATATAAAATAATGTAAGAAAAAAACTCAACAAATAGATAAAGAAAAAATACTTTTGCATGATGATGATTAAGAATATTTTGGAAATTAACATAGAAAATGGAAATAGTTGGAGGTACAAGTGTCAGAAAAAACAACACAAATAAGGTAGAGCTGGCAATACAACATACATTGGCAAACACAGATACAGTACATCAACACTTGAGGTACACAAACCTGCATGTTATTTGTGTCAATCCTAGCAATGGCTAGAAGAAGAAATTGACCAAAATAATTGGAAATTGAAGAATAAGAATACATTGAGAAAAATATTACTCAAAAATAGGTAAACTTTAAAGTAGTATCTAAAGATCTAACTGATTTGTCTAACAAAGAGTTGGGAGAGGAATGGGGAGTAGTAGAGGATCTATATTGCTATACCTTTCTATCAAATATGTATTTACTATACATACACAAACTAAACAGTAAAACAATGTTTTGAAACGTTCTTATTCAATTGGTTTTGTAATATCCTGAACTTCTTATTTTATTTTTTTATTCTTACTGTTTTTTTATGGGGGAAATAACATCTTATACTGAAAAAATACTTTAAATTTATGGCAAATTGTTATTTTTTTGACAGAACAACCACACAAATCATGAGGTAAACAAACTTAATGGGGGAAATGGGGGAAAAACATATTTGATACTTTTTTGGATGATATTCATATAATATACTTTGCAAATTGTAAAAAATACTATAAATTTATGGCAAATTGGTGGTTTTTTTTTACAAAATAACCACACAGATCATGAGGTAAACAAGTCCGATCCTGCTATTAGCCTAATATCTGGCATAATTCTCAAGATAATCATAGATGCCATTAGTACATATTATCATCACATCCCTGAGTACCATTAAAAACTGGATGAATTAGATACACTACAGAGGGCGACCTTCACTTAGCACTAAAGGCTCATAACACAAGTATGAATAATGAGTAATAAAGATAGTGTAGGAAGTAGAAACACTTTCACAAAAGGGATGAAGATTAGACATGACAAAAGATGCATTCATGCAGTGGATTAACAATTGACAGAATGAAGCATGTTTAATGAAAACTAAATTAATCATTATTTAGTATTATTAACATACATCTGTATTTATTAAACTTCTGAATATTTGAAATAAAATTTGTGCAATATAATTAACAAAGTCATAAATAAAGGTTATGACTTTCATATTATGAGATAATCTTGATCTTGCTATTCTGCAGGTACAGAGTGAAAGGTAATGGAGTAGAGGAAGAAGATAGTACAGTAAGCTAATTTGGTACATTAATACAAATATGAAATAGTATAAATAAGTGATTTGTAAGAAACTTTAAATATATCCCTATATTATCACCCTTACAATATTATTTTAATTATGAAATTAATGATAATATTTTTGGGATTTATTACATATTTAAAAAAATTGTTATTTCACTTAGAGTACCATTATTATATTAATATTACTGACATCATCATCATTGATTTAACTATTAGGTATATAAATGATTGATATTACTTAATATTAATACGAAACAACTATTAACACTTTATTTTACCTGTTTATATGAGTTAATTATAATGGGGGGGGGGGGTTTTCATGAATTTGACATTTTATATTGTATTAATGTAATTTTTAATTAAAAATCTTGTAATTAAGAATGGTTAGATAATCTTAATAACATTGTAAATAATAATTTTTATAAAAATAATTAGTAACTAATGCATTTGGACTGACAATTTTGTACATATGATTCCCTTTTCTTAATTCCTTTTGGTACATATTGTTTTCTATCTATTCTGTTTTTTTTTATAAAAATTTAATATTGTATACTTCTCTTTTTAAAATTTAATTGCAATTGAATTGTGAAATTTTTATTTGAATTTTTGTGTCATTTATTGTTTCATACTGTAAATTCATTCATTTTAGTTTTGTACTGCTGACTGTTTTTTTTATATTCTTATACCTGAGTAAAATAAAAATAAAATAAATGAATAATCAAAACAGACAAGTCTTCAGAGACTATTATATAATGCCTTAGACACAAGCTGCCATGCACCAAATATTTCTTGTTTTACAATCCTACAGACAGTTCTAAAGTGGAAATATAACAAATATTTCTAATGTTATACACATTGCCATATGTTTAACTCAAGGCTTTAATTTATAAGTTTAACTTCATTATTATTTGAAATAATCTTCATAAACAATTAACTTCTACCTTTGTCACTATTATATTAAAATATATTGCTATAGTTACTTTTTATTAAAATTTAATAAATACAGTTGGGCACAAAGTAACTTCACTGGTTGCCAGGTAAGTCAAGCATGCAACTGAGCATGGATATAGAGTTACTATATGACAGGCATTCACAGCTATCTGACAACACTTACCTGATCTCATCTGGTTTAGGCCTAGTGTCATAAAATACAATAGATATATAGATTTTAAGATGGTAATATTCAACAAAAACAAACAAATTACAGGAGGAAACAAGTAAACCAGTCTAAAGTAAATGTTATTAGGTGTTGGTTCAGAAGGATTCTCTCCACTGGGATTTTTGCCACAACTACAGCACTATACGTTTGCTTACCAATTGAAGAAGACAGTATGTTTGAAATATATGTAAAAATACCTAACATGATTTAATGTACTGAAGATGTTATGTAAAGCTGTTTGACATAATTTTAAGCAAAATCAGGTCTGATATTTACTAAGCTCCTCTGTGATATATTGAATTATTTAGGCATCACATTCCAGCCATATGTTACCAGTATTATTGTGTTTGAAAGCTTATCGTATGTAAAAAAAAAAAACAAACAAACTAGTCTTAAAAAAATTATGAAATCCACCATGTTTTAAATGTTCATTTTTTTTAATGATTTGTTATAAAACAACCTCACATGAAATCCAATGGGAAAGGCTATAATTTCACAATCATGTCATCATAATCATCATATATAATAACATAATCATAAAACAATAGAATAAATTTTGTTGTATTCACAAATACATTTATATCTTGTAGGCCCTGCATTTATAAAATCAGCAAACTAATCTGGTTTGTTGTCAGTCTTCAAGACAAAATAATAGAAGGAAAAGATAAAAATAAGAAGCATGGCTGAAAAATAGAGGGCGGTATATACTTACATATAAATGGGCTGCATTTGAAGTGATTGACCCTTGACATTAGCTGCGGGATTGTAGGCAGAATAAGAATCAAAACCACCAATAAAATCAACTGAAAAACAAGCAAAATTCTTGAAAAATTATATTCTTGTATTGGTTCTTAAATTATATTTTCAATTTGAATTAATTTGTAGTATTCTGTATAAGAAACTTATCTGTTATTATTGCATGCAGCTGTTTTCAAGCGCTTTTATTAATAAAAATGGAAGGGTAAAACAACTACGTGCACAATTATTTTTGAGTTTTTATGAACAAACTTCTTAGTGTCTCTATACGGTGATGGCAAGGATTTGTCCGCCTGATTGATGGACAGAATGACTGATTGATTGATAGATTATACTGATTGATTAACAGACCGATACATTATTGACAGCTATCTGTGATTGATTGATCATTGAATAGTTCTGGCTTTTAGCTACTCCTCAATGTTGGCTCAGGAGACATACATCATCATTACCAACATGATACTCATCGCATTAGACTATTGACATCAGGAATTCTTGATTCTTGAACATTAATGCAATTATACACAACATACGGTAGCATTAAATGCAAAAGCTCTCTTGTGAACCAAAAAAAAACACAATATGCAATCTTAACTGAATGTAGTAAAAATGTGTTTAGAAAGGATATTTACATACAACAATGTCAATTTTAACAGTGCCAAATCCACAATTAAGCTCAAGGCACTATTACACTTTAAAGAAGATACAAACATCATGTAGGATTTTTATTAACAAGGCAATTTCTGTTATTTTTTTTTTCCAGGAAGGCACAAGTTTATAGTCATGTCAGTTTCAGGAGGTAATACATATTTAGGTACAGGGAAAAATGTAGAAATTCTCATTATCAAATTTTGGTTGGCAATCGATTTTATATGCAGAGTTTCATAAAGAATTTTCACAGCACTATTAAGGAAAGGGATTCCTGTTTTGAGAAATACAACACTGAACATAACATTCAATGAAAACACTGTACAGAATGTTTTAGAACTAGGCCACATTCCTGGCAATAGAGACAGAGAGATACAGAGGCGTTTGCCCAGCAGGGGAGGGCAATCTTGGCCCTGTTCACTTGCCGAGAGTAGTGGCTCTAGGCTAAAGTAACATTGATATAAACAATTAAATTTATTATAAATCAAGTCATGGTATACTAATGAGATAAAGAATGTTGAGGAGGTATATTTTGATAGATCCAACACAATACTTACAACTATCTTCTTCTTCATTAAACTTGTATATTACAACTATGGCAAGAATGAAACCTAAAACCTAAAGACAAAAACAGTACATTTTACGATGAATGAATATGAGTTACAAATTTAACTATAGTTAATAACTTCCAACTTTGTAGACTGATGTCATTACACTACTGTGCCTGCAAAGAATGCTAGAAGGTTGAACTAATAAAAATTATATTAGTATAATAACAAGAATAGTTCCAATAGTTGATCAAATTTAATCAACAAAATGACAATCAAAATATTAGTAAACAATAGTTTAATGATACTGTAAATTTCATAATATTTACTGAATTTTAACAATAAAAAAGATATAAAGGTTAAGGGCTTGTCAGAGAAATATTAAAAATTAATTACATATTTTTGCTAAATGTGTCATGTGGTGAAATCACATGCGAAACCATGTGAGAAAAAAAAACAATGTTCAATGGAAAGATTACAGTGAGGAAAACAACATTCATGAGCAGCTGCTGAGTCTTCATCCCAGTTTATTTGCCATTTTAATCAAAATCAAGGGGAACGCTACACTACAAGAGTTAAAATACATCATTACCTTCTAATTAGAGGCAGGTAACAACACTCAGTTTTTGCTGTTTTGGGCATGAATGTTACACTTGTTATGGAGTTCTGGTGTTTTTTCTCCCATGATGTTAAGCCATGTAGTGTGGACATGATCTTTTCATGCCAGGTTTGCAAGGGTCCGAAGTTGGAAGAAGTCACTAACTGGGAGATTTGGTTAAGTGAGCTTTCTCAACAAACACCTAATTTCATTTTGCTGCACAGTGATATACCCATCACCACTGACTTTTGTGAGACAATTGATAATAAAGTAGCAAAAACATGTAAATATTAGGAATTTGCGGGAGATAGGTTATTTTCCAGGAGATATTACTTGCTTGGAGGCCGTCCCAATTTCTGGGAGACTTCCACGAGTTGAGAGAGACGTGGGACCCCTGGGTTTGACTAGTGCCTGTCGTGAGTCTATTAAATATGTACATAGCCCTAGAGATAATTAAAGATAATCAAATTACCCTTGAAGGAAAGAACTCGGTGTGCGTGTGTACAGTATGTTTACCTAAGCTTAGCCAAAGCCTAGATACCTGTACACACGTATGCAATGGTGGCAGCCAATGTTTTTAAAAAAACAAAAAAACAAGGACCACATCCTTCCATTTTCCAAAAAACCCACACAAGATATATAGAATTTTTAAACAAATTCAGCCTAATATTTGGGTGAACATTTGTAGAAAAGAATGGCAAGTTTTTAATAAATTAGCAACAGTACTAGAAAATCACCTTTAACAAAGCGATGAGACATCGCTAACTGGTAGCTTTAATTTCTTTATCAAAATATTTTTTTACAGAATGTTTAAGCATGGTTTAAGTATGCGCAGCAGCTGTTGTAGATGACAGGATTATGTTATAACCATTCCCAAGGGTTTTCTTCCTTGCAGAAGTCAAATTCTACAATACAATACTCTAAAGTTCAATGGTACTTTGGGTACTTTCCTCATAGCCAATTACAGAATAGACACCTCAGGATGTTTATATTTTCAACAAATACAGACAAATTAATTTAGGTGTTACTTGCTGTAAGAGACTCAATTTTTAAAACAGGGAAGATATAAAAAGACGGTAGAAATGTTTTTGCAAGAGGATATGTAAATTAGAGGATGCAGTAAATTAAAAAACAATCAGTTATATTAATTATTATATAATTGCTAGGCCCTCACCGCTAGTAAAATTTGGACTGCAGCATGGATGGTTTCTATGTAGATATAGTCCAGCAAACAATCAGTGACTTCAGGAGCCGTGGAGGTATAATCATCGAAAGACGTGACTGTGTTGTTTTCGTGCAGCGTACAGCCAAACCCATGTGTCTTCCACCAACTTTCACTACCAGTATTAAAATTTAATATATTTGAATTTTCCTGCAAATAAAAAAAAAATGTGTTGTTTATTTAGATCAACACTTTCTCATTTTAAACATAAGAAAAACATATTTTTCCCATGTTTAATTAACATTACAGAAAAGAATCAGTGTGTACTTGAAAAGAATTACATAATTCTAAAATCAATCTATTAAGTTTTAATAAAATCAAATTTTTTGCTAATGTATAGATTTCCACCACCATTTTTTAAAACTAGTAACAGAAAATTTAAGAATATATCTTTGTCTCCACTATACCAAGTACCAGTCAATTTTTAAATGCTATGCAAAGAATATAACACATTTGGTACAGAAAAATATTTTAAATTCAACTTTTCTATTGAAAGTTAACTGGTACTTGTATTGTGTACCTATATAATGTACTTGACAGAAAAGCTTAAAAAAGCAACTGGAATATACTGAATAATTTTAAAATTTATTAGCTAAACACAGACACTATATATTATACATTTCATCAATAATATGCTAATTAGAATGCAAATTAATTTAAGTACATCAGCATTTTTGCTTCACTTTCATATTAAAGTGCACTGATAGTACTTGAGTTGAAGGCCTAGCTGTACAGTATGTGATTGACTGCTATAACAGCATTAAATACACTTAGTAGTCGAATCAGACCCTTAGCTTTACATAATCAGAATGTTGCGCATAAACCATAAACCATGCAATTTTATTAAGTCTACTAACAGAGAACTGTTAAGTTTATTTTGACACACAGAATGCATTATGGCCTAAACACACCTTTTAACACTTGAATTATTTGTGCCATAGCAAAATAACAATGTGGTATAATAATAAAACCATTTACTATATTACAGTAATGGATGGTTATGTTTTCATAATAACATTGATTATCATGAAGTTTTTAAAAATTTCTACAATCATCCTCTGCAATAATAATACTGCTTTTCCTGATTAACTATTTAAAAAATTTATGACGTAAATTTATCAAATACGGTACAGTAGTTATATTTCAGAAAATTATGTCAAAGTACTTAAAATTAACATAAATATTTTACTTTAGGAAACATTTGTAAATATTGATGTTATATGAAAATGAATATAATGCATGCTGGCTGGCATTATAATGAAAATTATAATGATTTTAATGGTAAACAAGGACTCAACAGATTGTTCCTACAGGGACACTGAAAAGCCAGAATGGCGTATCGATTAAAAATTAATCTACTTATGTTGATCCTTCAACCAACCTCGAGCATCAAGAATGACAATGTGACCATCAATTGGTTATGATTACATGCAACATGTGTACGCAAATGAGTCACATAAAGCTATTGTTAGTCATCACAGAGTAATGCAACTCAATAAGAGATGCTTCTAAATTAACAATAATTGAAGTCAAGATATTATTTATTGCCAATTATGTATGTGTAACCAACATTTAATTTTCCTTGATATTTAGACATTCAACAATTCAGTTGGCTATGAATTCATAGTCGATTAGGGTATTCCCCTATTGCCTCAAGCCAGTTATTGCCTTAACATCATTGTGTTTGTTTATCTATAATCTATATCATGGTATTTAACAACACAGGTAATGACGCAGTCTTACATAGCACACTGCACGCTAAGAAATCCTGCATGTGCAGTACTGTACAACATCACTACCCTGGTCATTTACACGCATACATCCACATCTCCCAATCCCCCCCAGGCCAAGTGACTTATAATGTGAATAATGACTCCTGAAGTTTAATGGCACATTGTCATTTCCACCAGGCTGGTTTGTGATGGTTAAATATTTTTAACAGTTAGAAGTGCCAATTCAGTAAAACAGAAAATATAATAAGAAAAGTGATACTGTCAGTGGTGTATCAAAAATTACTTGCGCCCCCTAGCCGCATCCCCAAAAAGTTTGTTCAAGTTAAAAATCACATAAAATCACCTTACAGTTTTTCGCAATTTAGCACCACTCAACTGATCATTGAGTCCCCCCATCACCTTCGCGCACTTCCCATCACCACCCCTACTTCAAGACTTGTAATACTTGATACAGTACAATACCTCCTGTACAGTAGAATACACTGAAGACAAGATCATCACCTGTGGATGTGATGTATTTTCATAATGCATGACATGACAGCGATCACTTTAAATTAATTTTTCCATTGACAACCTAAAATCCTACTACATTACTAATCTAACAAATTTGAATTAAAATGCAACATCCCATGAATACAGTATGTTATAGTGGTAATTTTTAGCATCCAATCAAAGGGTCAAGAGTTCAATTGTAACACTTGTTTTAAAGTGTCCCAGGGCATGGCACTTTATCTGTGTTGCTTCTCCGCACCCAATGGGCACCTGGTAGGATCAAGTGTGTCTGTGCTAAGATAATTGCAGCAGAAATGGAATACTCCAAAAGCTGTTGATTATATGGATAATTGTCTTAGGTCTACGATTCCAATGATTAGAAATTTGCAAGTGGTTTCTTTCCTTTTGTAAATGTGCTATTCTCTATTTAGATTTTTAGATTTGCATGTAATTTATCATAGGAAACAAACCACAATATAATAATAAAAATAAAATGTAAAGAAATTTAATAATAAATTAACCATATAAAAATGACCAGTGATGTGCAAAGGCGAAAAAAATCACCCAAGCAGAGAACTGATACACCTGCTGTTACTAATGATTAGAATTAGGTCAATATATATAATCAGTTAATGGATTTCAAATTTAAGTATTAATAAACACATTACATGAATGGTTTTCTCTCATGATCAATGATTATGTGTAGAGTAAATTCTGAATACAAAATTTCAATAATTGAATAAACAACAAAATTCATTGAAAGAAGTTTTTATTTTAAATTTAAAAAAAACTAAATAAAACTGATATAACATAGGGTGGTTTTCTTTTTTATGTCTTTACAAAAAGTAGTAATCTGAAAATAAAGAGGATTATAGGATGACTGTTGTGTAGCATCAATACTTGCCTATGGGTGTAGGATGGGGAAGGAGGAGGATGGACACACCCTGCATCCCCCACCCCCAAAAGCAAATTAGTTGCACTAAGTGGGTTAAAATACTAAGAATGTTTTCATTGAAATAGAGATTTAGTTCCACATTCTAAATTTTTGCATCCCCAAACCAAAACCACCCTATAGTACGCACCTGCAGTGCTTGTCATCAATAGGAAATTAACTTTCTTATCTACAGTATTTTCACATTAAGAATATGAAGATTACTCCATGTAATTGTGCACTTTTAAAAAATGCATACAAAAATATGATAAGTATGCATGCGTGCATACAATGCTACATACATAGTACAATGACTTATCAGGTACACATGAATTAACTTTAAGTTAAATCGAGACTCCTTAATTGACTTTCAATCAAGGACATTGAAAGAGCCGACAACATTAAGAAATGTGAAACTGAAATTGTTAGATTCCAATTCGCATTCGCACCATGTGGTGAATTTTACTTTTAGTTCATTAATGTTTAATAATTATCAATAATGCAGGTTCATTGTGATACTGTAAAGCTTGTTTACCACTAGGCGAATTTATTCGTACGAATCAAAAGCTCTTGAGCTCTGATTGGTTGCGTATTTTTTGCTTCGCAAAAGGGAAAAACAGTTTTAAATACTGATTTCGCTGAAGCAAAAAAATTCTGATAGAAATGTGACAGCGCATGTGCATGAACCAATGCATTCGATTCGTGCGAATAAATTTGTATAGTGGAAAACAGACTTTATCGATAAATTAAGATTAATAAAATGGTAATATGCCTACATTTTCTGTCAAAATTCATGATCTAATAATATTTATAATAACATATTTTATAACATTATATTTAATTTTTAGCTGATTGAGCTTTACTGTTCTCCATCTAAAACTTGGAACTATTTAAAATTTTGAAATTAATGATACTTAATCTCATTTCAGGTAACAATAATATATTCCAAATTACTATGGCAACATATTTATGGTACAATGAATGCATAGAAGATATTACATTACATACATTTGTATGTTTAATACTAAAACTGAAGTATTGTACTTATAGTGGTCAAGTTATACGTCAATCTATCTAGGTCACTATATATTTAAATATTCATAGCACAGAACTCTACAGGATATCACATACAGTTAATTGGAGGTGTGCAAACAAAAGAGCATAAAGATAAAGTAGGGAGAAAGCCAATCACCAAACAATACAGCATAAAATGTTATATTGTAACTAAAAAAATTAAAGCCCCATTCCCGGCAAAATTTCAATTTTTAAGAAAAATCTAATTTTTGTATAATGTTATAAAGATTTATAAATATAATACGGAATTGCTAGTTTAACTGAATTTAGACATTCCTAAGAATGAAAAAAATGTAAAATAAGACTGAAATTTGATTTTTTGTGTTCCACACAAAAAATAAATGCGGATGAATTTTTCATGTTGATTTTGCGATAGGTCGTGAGAAGAAATATCGTAGGCGCCTAAAACATTAGCCTATCCAACGCTGCTGGCTAGGCCTAGCCTTACCTCGATTTTGGCTCTGTTATCACACATAAAAACGGCCGACATGATATTTTCCGTCTGTAATAGTCTGTATTTCTCATTTTTTTTATTCTTTTGCGTAAAACTAAAATTCATGCCAATATTTTTCCATGATTTATAATAATTGGAGTAATGCAAATGCATATTTTCTAAAAAAAAAAAAATGAGTCAAAAAATAGTGTTCAGGTTATATTACTTCAATACCAATAACAAAGCAATGTAATTGGAATACAAAAAAAGGAATTACATACTGTGTGGATAACAAAACTCCTACAGTACGTTAACATACTTAGTAATGATAATCATACAGTAACTTTGGGACGAGTGAGCTGAACATTGTAGGTCTAGTGTCTGCATGCCGTATAGCAGATAATTTTTACGTACCAATTGCTCCTTCTTCATACATACATAACCTTCATATACAAGTGTACAGAAAAAGAAAACAATTTTTGTTCTATGCTATGAGGCTAGTAGTGAGTTGTGAACACAAAATTCTTACAGGATTCGAACTCAGAACCATGGAATTTGAAGGTGAGCATCCTAACCACAGCTCCACCCTATAATTGGTGTACGCAAGAGTCGCTTCAAATTCAGTTCTTAACTCTCCACATATTGGCAAAACACCATGAAATTCATACTGAAAAGGCAAGTGATTATTTGTAATAAAAAAACATTCAAAAGATTATTGATGAAAGTATTACAAATTCAGACATTGTAAAATGTTTGAATGTATTTTGCATCTCAATAATATAGAAGCCATTGTGTAGTTTCCTGTGTACTTTCACGATGATTAGGATTGCTATGGCAACCAAAAATGTATCACCAATAAGATTTTCAACATATAATGACATACTGTAATGTTTTTGTTAACCTGGATAATAGATACTTCACAATACAATACAGTCTAAACTAAGTAAAAATCAACCACATTCTAAACAAGGATTAAAAAGCTTTTAACTCAGTGTAAAAGAATATTAAGGAAACTTGCAAAAACAGAATTAATTACAAATTTGGAACTAGGCCTAAAATCTTCAATTTAATTGAGAAAATAAGAATAATACTATATTTTAAACTGAAAAGAATGTACCTTAAAATGTGATAATACAAGGATAACATATAAAAGGTTGAAAAACAGTCATTTTAATGGGTCCTTACAATAAACAAAATTTCAATTAAAAAGAATGTAGTTAAGGAGTACCATATTTTAACCATAAAATGGGGCTTTAAAAGCGATTGAATTTACTTCTGACAATTCTTAGCATATGTAACATGTTTTCATTTTTTTATATGTGCAGGGCTAGAAATTTATTTTTTTAGCCACTAGCAACCTATTGCTAAAATTTGCTAGTTGTGTGAATTTTTTTTCTGCTGGAAGGTTTAGCCTGTTGCAAGGTAGTAAGCCAATCACTACGAAATCTACGTGCAGAAAAAATTAATGTTGGTGGTGCACTTCACATCTTGTTCCTGGTGCTCAAGATGAAAAAAAAAAAACGGTCGTTTTTCGTCGATTATAGGCATTTTTTAGTTGATTTTCATAATTTTTTTCCAAAAAAAAAATAAAATTTGCATTAGTTTTTGTAACTTTTCTTTTATAATTTATTTTACAAAATTTGTTTTACATACTAGGCTAATTACAAGTTATAGGTATTCCAACTAGCAATCATTTGCTGGTTTGTGAATGTTTACCTAGAAATTATGCCAAACCTACTAGCAAATTGCTAGTGCGAATTTCGAGCCCTGATGTGTTATCTTTTAATCCTTTTGCCTAAAAATTGAACATAGTAAACCAAATATTAGCCATAAAAAAAATCACCAAAAATGAATTCTATTTTTTAACTGAAAGATACTGAAGCCTTTGTATGGCTCCTGCTGAACACTTGGACTTGTCTTAATCATGTAGTGTTAAAGACTAGGTTCAGTGTTGTTCTAAACTAAAGCATTTGCAGTGGAATACATGTAGGTGGTATTATTAAATTGATGCAATTAAAAACAATGAAATGGAAAGAAAGGCCTGTACGTCAGAAAGTGAGAATAAATGCATGAATTAAGCTGGCAAATGTAAACAAATTCAATCTGTAATTTAGTTGTTTTAAGTAATTCTTCCAACAGCCTGTAGTAATATTGTTAAGAAATACCAAAAACTAAACTACTTTATCGATGTATCAATTAAGCGATAAATTAGATTTATTAAACATAGAGACCAGCTGATTCCTAATGGTTCCATGACTACCTAATGTAATTGTCACCTCGACGTTTGCTTAATCTAATCGTGCAACTACGTCAAGTTCTTAGACATATTAATCACATTACATTAGTTTGTAGACGGCTACAAGTCTACAGCTGTAATGTATATCACATAGAAGCTTACTAAGAGCACTTGCAAACAAAAACTGAGGAAAATATGCCAGTGGGAAATACTCAATAACATTAATTAAAAACTAATTAAAATGAAGTAAACAAAAAAAAAATAATTAAAAAAAAAAGGATAATTTACAAAGGAATTACTGTAAATGATTGCTTTCCTGAGATTGAAAAGCTAAGAATAAAATCCCTGCCAAAGCCTGACAAATTATCCAATACGGGTCCTATTACTCAGTGCACATTATCAAATTTTCTATGACTAGTATCAAAGATCTTATAAACACGTTACGCCATAAGTTCGTTACCAAGTACGTTGATTTGTTCCTTATATTCTAAAAAGAGGGCGCATTGTAAATCAGATGCTTCTAATTGTTACGCGTAAACGTAAAGTCGCGCGGCGTACGCTACGGTCAGAGCGGTCAAGGTTCAAAAAATTTCAATTTTGCAAGAGGCCGCTTTTCATGCATTATTACAGAATTTGCACGCTAGTAGGATGGTTTGCCGATGGAGCATTTTGAAGTCACATAAAACTTGATAGTATTTTAGACAATGCTTTAATAGAACGAAATGCTATGTGATGCTAGATACAAGCCTGGATAATCACTGTGTATAAACTGGTACCGAAATGCTGTGAGATTCCTTGGATCAATGGCAAATGCTCCACTTGGCCTCGTTTTGGCTACGATAGTTTAATAATTTGTTATTATAATTACCCATTATCATTAATAAAATAATAGTCAGTCAGAGGGCTTATTTATGGTAAATATGTATACTAAGCCTGAATGTGGCGCTTTACTACGACGGCCATCTTGGATGGTACACATACATAACTCTGCATTGCTCCGCCATCTTGTCAGCACTCTAGTTGTTTAATAGCTCTATGGATTTACTGTACAGTATGCCTGAACAAGCATACACAGTTCAAATGTAATATAAATCGGCTGAAAATGATTGATATTTTTTGCTTTAAACTTATTTTTATGTCACTTTTTTAGTTTAAATGTTTTCTTTCTTAGCTGATGTAATAATAAGTCTTTTTGTCGTTAAAAACGATCGTTTATAATGACGTCATCACTGCAAATTGGGTTTGTAATATCGAGAGTTTGTAAATGGGAGGTTCATAATTGGGAGATGTTACTGTACATGTTTTTTTTAGTAAGAAAATCTTTAAATTGATTACTAGATTTTTTAGGATCTATTTATAGAAGAACAGTATTATTTATGTGCGTCTGTTAATTGGCAATATATTTCTAATAGATGCAGCGGCGCTTTTGAAAGTTAAGCTTAAGTTCTGTCTAGACTATCAAATTTTATTTGAAAAATACATGTGACATGCCTAAATATGGTCATCATGACATCATATTATGACCATATATAGGCACATCATGACTATATATGGGCATACAATAATTTTTTGCCAAATAAAATTTGATAGCTGAATAAAGCTTAAGAGAAAGTGTAAGGTGCAGTGCTTTTTCAATCGTTTGCCATGTTATTACTAATTAGTCAATATAAAAAGAAAACAAAAACTATATCATTTATAAGTGTAAACTTAATGTTGTTTAACTGACCTATGAATATCAATTACATGGTATTCATAATACATTTTAGTAATAACCAGACAAGTTAAGGCATAAGAAAATGAAAGAAAACTGAAAAATGCAAAAGGGAAAGTACTACTAAAAAGTACTGTAGTACTGTAAATAATTCTCAAAATAATAATAATAGTAAACTTTTTATTGAATTATTTCCATGGTGCAAAGACAAACAAAAGTAACATTAACTTAAATTTGATGTCATAAAAAAAATTCTCATTCTTGAAATATATACTGTACTTGATAATTGGATGTGAAAAGGTTACACACTCTTTATGCTAATAATGCCAACAAAAGATTAATTGCACTAACTATAATTCTCATCTACTGTACAGTAGAGAGTAGCACTGGTGAATGCTATTGAAACAATCTTGTCAACACACCTAACCCATGAGAGTTAGAATGATGTACGAGAGTGAGCTCCTGTCATCAATTCAAAAAACCTTTAAAAAGAATGGTGAAGACAGGCCAATTTTCTTAAACTCATGCTTACAATTTTCAAACAGAAACACTAAAATGGTTATGGTATAATTTCCCAGAAAGCATGACTTACAAGAGCATGTTCATTAGACATTCAAGTCAATAATTAATCACCGGCTAATCTGGAAAGGTGAATCACTGGGTCAGATATACCCCACTACCTGCACGGATAGGATTACCCATCAGAGTATTCATTTTCAGAAGTTAATTAACAACCACTATCCTGTGAATAACTGTACTATCTTAGTACATTCAACTTACCACCGCTAAAAACTTGGGTCGATACTGGTAGCAGCCGAACAAGCCGAATAGTGTGAAGATTATGCTTAGAAAATCACCAATGATGGGTGTCCACATGTACCCAACAAAATCAAAGACTAGTTTCTCGGTACTTGCTAGCTGTAATTAAAAGGAAACATTATTATTAATAATTATAACACATTATTACAGTAATTAATATCACTATTTTTAGATTACACAATGACTTCACGTCAGCTACATCCTAGTGTAGCTCCATTGTCAGAACACAAGGTTAACTGGCATTGAAGATTAAAGAGTGATTTTATTATCAAAGAAAAATGTTAGTGCCCCATTAGGATTCAAACCAAAGGCACATTTTTACATAATGTTCAAGTTTCTTCATTACAATTTTAGTTACACAAATCATAGTATGGCTATTCCATACATCATGAATTTTAAAATTTTTTTCCAGACATTAAAAATATAATAATCATCAAAATTCATAAAAATGTTCATGGAATAATTTAAATGATGAGTATAGAAATTCAGCAAATATTAATAAATTTAAAGAAATCATTAATCTAATCTAACTTCTGATATTCAATTAATCAATTACTGTATGTATATTAAATTAATTAATGTATACTGTATGTTTTTGATTTATTTTAAACTAAAGGTACTATTTAATTTCACATTTTAATCACATTTATTACTTAATCAAATTCTTTAATGTCTATACTTTTGTTATGTATTTTGTATTTTTATATTTTACCACTTATGGCCTTGCACGGCCTTGATGAAAAACACCCTTGGGTGATCAAGTTTTTCCGTGTTTAAATAAAGTAATTATTATTATTATTATTATCAATTTTGAATAAACAAGTTCTCGTAATCTCGAAAGCTCTGATGAGGGTAGTATAAGTAGAGTATATTGGCCCTAACGGCCGCCCATACAAAAAAGATATATTAATCAATCATCTGAGTGATTCTAGAGCTCCTCATCAGAGCTAAAAAGAGAAAGCTAAATTTTTAAAGTATAGTTACACTAGATGACATTAGTTTAGACAACCCTGTAGCTTTCTATCTTTCTTATTAGATTAAATTTCCAAAAGTAATCTGCTGACAAAACACGAAAGCCATCCATTCAAGGAATAAAGAGCTAACCAAATGACATTGTCACATCATCACTTATAATTAAATAAGGTTTACAGTATTTAATAGCACACAATAAGGTTTATTTTGATAGCACACTGATAATGTGCAACTAACAATTTATCAAAAAATTGTTCTTTTAAGCTATTATAATTTTTTTTACAATTTATATCATGGCTGATAAAAAAGGTAAAACATCCTAAGTTTTCTAAGCTGTGATTTGCTATGATGCAGTGCAATGCTAATTTTTATTTTGACATGTATTCAACATTATGCAACTGTATATCATTCACATCAAACTTAATTTATAGGATCTAAATTACTGTAAATATGGATTTCTCACATGTTTTAAATCCTATTCATGTCTTTGCACTAGGATGAGCAAAAACATACAGTAGCAACAATCACAAGGACAGAAGAGGTTTTAATCAAAATGGTCCCTTGGCTAATACTAACTGGTCCCTGAAGAAATTACTGGTCCTATAGGTAATTATGTTATTAGTCCCTAAGGAAATCAATAGTTCCCAAGGATAATTATTACATTCAATTAATTGATATTCTGTACAGTAGACATGCAGTAGGTGGCATGATGGAATTACTATGCTACAGTTGTTTTCTTTGGGACGAGGACAAAAAGTAGGAAAGGGATGCGGAAGTACTCTTTCCAGGTACCTAATTCAAGGCTCAAATCTCAATAATTTACTCCCAGTAGTATAATTTTGGGGGTTTTTTTGTAGATAGCAAAAATTAACATAATTTTATGTTTTAATTATGTTTATGATGTATAAATATGTATATTAAGTAAATCAAATAATATTTGTTTACATTTATAAAGAATGTTCCAATACACCATTCATGTCTTGGTTGAACATTATGTTTCCTAGCCTTGACAAAGCACTACATCACCACACAGAAAATGGCAAGGAATATACAATAAATCATTAAAATGTTCTAACGTTTATTACATACCACCGTTCATTCACAGTACTGGTTCAAGGCCAAAAATATGCTTGGAATTTGCAGTTACATCGTTTCACTGGGATTCTGGGTCATGTGACCATCCAATATAATTTTTTTTTTCTGTGAAACACCTTCTGGTAACATTATCCATGGAGATGTACCACAATACATTATCATAATATGCCAATGTTTCAATATGGAGTCAATTTCTGACCATTAAAGCTACAAAAGCTAATTTATGACCAACGGCTAGAGATGCCCTTTGTCTGAACTATTTAGGAAAAATATACAGTACAGTACTCTACATTTACTACCGAATCCATGTCTGGAACAGACTCCCTCCCAGACAGCACAATTGGATATTATGTTATAAAATATGTTTTCAGATTGAAACTGTAAATTATACTCTAGAGATGACTGACTGATGCTTTTCATTATATTTCATGGCCTCTTAAAAATCAACATTTTTCCTACATAAATCCAAGAATCGTTTTGTTCTGTTTCAAGTGATAGCATGTGATGTTATTAAATTTGGTGAGCCTGCATAGCACTCATCCTGTTGAAATATTAACATCCTGGTGATTGTGAAGTTGTGCATTGTCTCAGATTAGATAATGTATTCTACTCAAACTGTGAGTGAAACAAAAAAATATGCTAGAAATCGAATGATACACACTTTACGAGACCGTTTTACGTATCATTAGCCACCTACAAAACAGAAATTTAATAAGAACATTGGTAAGGAATGTTTAGTACAAAAAATATCAACAAGTTAACTTGTTTATATCGGAAACGTAGACTGTCATGTCACAAAGAGTTTCTTGTATTATAAGTGATCGAAACAGAACAAGGGGAGGTTATACAACCATTCTTTGCAAATTTGGCAATGAAGGACATGTGTGATATTGATAGTCGGCTTTGAGTTAACACTGGACGCAGGGTTCCCGGAAAGCCGCCCTCAGCGGCGTGTGCGAAGCAACTCAGAGTCAGAAGTGGAACGTGAATTTCGATTTGGTTTCGTAGTCAGATTTTCGAGAAAAACTTCTCGACTGAGACGTCAATGGGAGCTGTAATTTGTATGGCAAGGAGATGGTGCTACCCTTAATTTGTATTAAGGGAATTTACGCCCACAAACCTTGTAGTTATATTTTGGTTATAATAGAAAATTTTAAATTTTTGATGATGTCACACTCACGCTATAGTTAGCATGCATATGTCATAAACTAGATTACATCACCTTTTCCTGGTAAAGCAAACTTTCCCGGCGTGCTTTTTATATGGATAAACAAACACCACTACTTTGCACATGAGTGCCTTGTCTAGCTACTGCAGGGCTATAAGAGCCGCATAGTTTAAATATAATACTTAAACAAGGTACGTCTGCAACTGAATTATTCTTAGGCCCTAGTTAATTTTTTTCTTATTTTAATTTATTTCTTTCGAAAGTGTACTTTCTATCACATAAAATTGCATTGTCTACTTAGGCCTAGGCCTAGTCATATTATGCTTCATCGTCCCCTGCTATACAGAGTACATCAGTAGACTAGCCCCCCCACCCCCACACTACAGTACAGACGTTTGCTAGGCAAAAGAACGAGATTGCACCTTTCTTACCAGGTGTTCATGTAAATTTGCATAGGCTTATTGTTAGATAACCAGCTAAGTGTATTCCTTTGTGAAAATGAGTACAGCGGGCCGCGTACTCATTTTCACAAAGCATTTGCATCCCCTCTTGAAAAGAGGGAACTTTTTTTTTTACGTAATAGTTGTCACCATATCTTAATTTAGCTTACACTTATGCATGGAGGGAGCACTTAAAATGTACAATAATCATTTCACTACCCGACAAACCCCGAACTTTATTCATGCATCTTGCAGTACTCCAACATCACTGGCGCATGGTGACAACCAACTGGCAGACACTTTCCAGTCACACATTACTCTCCATAACGCAACACCCCTTGTTCCGTGTCATCTGGATACAAGTCAATCTCCAGAGTAGGAAGAAAATGGGGCCAGCTCGAGTCCATCCATCATATTTTTGCATATTTATATTGCCATCTTTAATGGTGTGAATGAGGCCTCATTAATGTATGACTGACTTGTTTTTGTTAATAAACTATTGATATGCTTGTGAATACTATTTATATCTTTCTTCACATCTTGCTATAGCCTTGAATGTCATCACGTCTCAATAACATCTTTGTTATTGTAACTGAAATACATGCACAAGAACGATGCAGATGATGACCATCACAATTCAATGTTAATTATTTTCATTAGAAGAGCACCATAGAGCAGTTTGATTAAAAACTGGTATTAACCACATTGTGTGCACCCAACCATGGAGAATTTGTATCCCTAGTTTTAATTGATGAAGCTCTCTCTCTACATAGTGTCAACTTTGAAAATGAAATCTAAGCCGTAGGTCACTTAGTACTACATTTTACACTCTTCAGGAAAATTGAGGGGATTCTCTCCTACTGTAGCCACTGCCCAAATACCTAATTCACCAGGCAAGATTGCACTTTACTACTGTATGGCTGCTTGTGTGGCTAGGGATAAATGAACTACTAATTAAATGAACTAACTTAATTTCTTTAGCCAAAAAGTATCCAGATGCCACACTATACCTCTATTCAGATAATAAAATGCTAAGTAATTACTGTATATTAATTATTATTGTTTTCATTATTTATGACTTTTTAATACTCCATTTCTACATTGCTTCACTAAATCTTGCAAATGCTAATGAAATCCAATGAGGCTTAAAAAGTGAACTACTTTTAGTGTCAATATATGTTGCATAGTTTATCATTAAAAAGGATGTCACTTTACTAGCCTGGCTTTTCCCTCTAATCCGGATAAAAATCAGAATCTGCATTTTCAATATGCATGTTTTATTAGCAGCATTTAATATTAACTGTAATCACTATTATGAATATCATCATGCATAATATAAAATCATGATTTTGAATATATTGTAATAATTATTCATGTGTATGTAAGGACACCACTAAAGCAAGCAAGATATTAACAATTACAGTTAATACATTGTAAGTCAAATCAACATATTTAAGGCAAAAATTAAATGAAGAGGAATATTTAAAATAGTATATAAAAAAAGCTCCAGGAATGTAGTTACATGGGTGGGGCCACCCAGCTTTGAAGTTTTCCACCAGTCTAAAGTTAATTTCATAGCCCCACCTTTAGTAATCCCATTTCCCATTCTTAAAATCCACATTTTATCTTTTAGAGTTTACCAATGTTATCAACCACCCACCCTTAAAATGTCTATCACCTACCTTTAGTTTTCTATAGCTCTATAATTCTAAGCTCCATTTCAAGTGTTTTACAGCTTTACGTTTATTAGTTTTCTTAAACCTCCTTCTATATACTGGTAGTGTAATTTTGCATAATAGTATAATATCCCGATTCAGTATTGCTATTTCACCTGTACAGAAGCCAGTAGACCTTACGCACAGTATTTAAAGCCAGGCAATCACTGCACAACACGGTTGTCGGCTGACGCGATTCTATGTAGAACAGAACACCACGACGAGCATGCAACGACAATCCGTTTATTCTGCCACAGACGGCGTCGCGTTGTCTATCACTAACTGGGAGCGGAGTTGGATTCGTCGTACGATGCAGTGAGTGCACGGCTTTAGAGTTGTCTTAAGCCGGGCACACGCTGTGTCGTATGACAGTAGTTCGGCCATTGAATTTCACTCAACTCCATGAGTGCTAGTTGATGCGACGCTGTCTGCTGATTGACACTGGCAGTCTGAACGGATTGTCATGAAAAACGATCAGCTGCATGCGTGTCGTGGCATTGCATTCTCCATAGAACAACGTTGCCTGATGACCATAGGGCGTAGTGAATACCCATCTTTAGAGGTACGTGTTTCCATTTTAATTTTGTACAGCTGTTTATTTTCTGTACTATGTGTATACATAGCTACCAGATGTTTATCTTGTATTTTTGCATATAAATTAAACAATTGCAGTTTCTGAATTTAAAAAAAAAAAAATATTTTTTTCTGTTGGACCACACTGAAAATATTTTCAGTAAGTTAACATCACAAATATTATCTTACAAATACATGTCATTATTATATAAAGGCTGATTCTACTGCAACTTAAAATGGATTTCACCAGGAAACCATGGCTTCATGCAAGTTGCAATATTTAAGCTGTGTCCTCTAGCCAGAGACACACCAAAAGACAAAAATCACTAAACTAAGTATGCCATTATTAGTATTAAAACCACCTCACAGCCTCTCAATATTTAATAAAGTATTGCACCTTTGTGTTAAAAGTAACATTATGTCGGTGTTGAGTTAATATAATTCTAGAATTGGTAAGTTTTTTTTACAACAGTAAATTAGAAATAGAAAATGATTAAAAATTAATTCTCAAAGAATTTCATTTGATTCCGTAAGTATAGTAGCCTAAAGAAAGTAACCAAAGCAGTTGCTGAAACTGTTGCAAAAGTAAGCAACTAATCGGTTCAACAAAGCAGATAATTTTTCTACTACAAATTTAATAATTAATGAAATGAAAGTAATATATGCAGTGCTCTCGACTGAATATTTTTATTATCATAATCAGTCATTCTTGCCATAATGTAATAATCTGATCATAAAACACATCAGAAACTTTAGAAGGAATACTCAGTTTAATAGTCATAATAGATTTGTATAGAACCTTCACAATAGACTCGATGAGTCATGAGTGTAGGTAGGTAAATACACTTCACAGGTGAGAACACCTTTCATTTTGTACTACCGTATACTGTAATGGAATGCCTGGCTTACAGCAACTCCTTACTGAATGCATGTAGGGTTGGGGTCAATTTGAGAACTGGGAATTTTGAGAAAACAGGAAGATTAATTAGAGTTAGAGTGTAAAAATATAGGTAGAAATGAATATTTCTAAATTTACAGTATCTATTTATTTATTAATATAAGATTCATAACATAAAAAAGATGTCTATGGTATATTCATTTTTAAATTGTATTTAAGACAGTCATTTTGATGTACTCTGATGTTAAGCATTTTACTCCTTGTAGCATTTTGTAATTTTTTTTAGTTTATTTACTTTTCTAAGAACACCTCCTCACTGTAAGAGTTGTTGCAAAAGAAAGATATTGAATTTTGAGAATCATGTTCTTATTTTTTAGCGTAAAACAATTAATTTTTTTATTTCATACATATTTTATTGGTTTTAATATATTTTTTCATGCCTATCAATCTTTTATATAGTGTGAAATACTATTAAATATATAACGATCTTAATCTAAATTTCTTATAATAATGT